CAGAGGCAAGATCACCAGTCAGCCACGGGACAAGTGCCGGCGGCCTCGGCAAAAGCGTCGAGCGGTTCCGGTCAGGTACGTGGACGTGCCCCCCAGCCTCGCGCGGATTGGCAAGCGCCGCGTCCGTAGGAGGCTGAGCTTTGGGAGAGGTGGTCCCAGTCCAAATGGCAAGAGGCAGGGGATTCGCGTGTATGAGACAGCCACGGCCTCACAGGAAAGCAGCGCAGAATTTCTTAAATGAGCACAAGGGAACATCCTGATCTACCCAGTATCTGCTGGGGTGACCAACGCAGGGAATGCTAGTTTAGAAGCGCTCAGAAACAAGAATTTTCGCATCCTCTCTTCCCTGAGGCTGACAATATCCTCTTCCAACGTCCTCTTTAATAAAGCAGCTCAGGTTCCTGGCGTGAGTTAGACACGGAAGCGTTCGTTCAGAAATCCACACTACCTGCTGCCCATGAAACACGCACGCCTGCAGCCTGTCCTAAGCGCTGTAGCCACCTCCAAGGAAGGGATTTCTGCTGTATTACACTACTTGATCTGCTCGGCAGGGCGCGAGGAGTTTAAATCCAGGTACATTTTCATTAAGAGAAGTACATTTATAAGCAGACCACCTAACAAAACATTGTGGGCCACTGCGTAAAATTTGAACCTGTGGCGATAACGAGACAGCCACCTCCTCGGCTTTCTCTGGTTTGGCATTTGCAGAGAGAGCCCTCACAAACCCCTCAGCTGCCATTTGCGACAGGTCCCGAGATCTGCCAGAGGCACCGCGCTGCCCTTGCTGCGAAAGGGAACCTACATGTGTCTTCTGCTACAGCCAGCAGCACTAGCTGTGCACAGCAAACAGCAACCAGGCGCAGAGAGGAAAAAAAAAACCCTTACATTGAACTAATCCACACGAGCATCTGTGATATTTTACCTACAGATTTGGGCGGGGGAAGATGCTTGCCTCTAACTTCTGCTGGTTTCTTCCCTATAGGTATGGGGCACAACTGCACCCGAAAAGCCGCCTGAGCCTACTCCCGGTTTTGTCCCGGACAGCAGTTCCACCCCCCGCTGCTCCTCGTCTGCGCCCGCCGGCCACCAGATCCCTC